CATTGCAAAACGAATGGCTGAGTCAGCCAACCCAGGCTAGCTGGTGGCCTCAGACAAGACCAACCCGCTCAGGTACTACTTGGGCAAGGCGTGTGCTTTCAACTGCATGGACCATGTGCCTTAGAATGTCACTTCTTTCAAGTTCCTTGTTGTTGTTGTTGTTGTTTGCAATACATAATAAGTAGATTCACTTTGAGGAATGGTAAGTGTGAACGTCACATCCTATCTCAATCATTTCTGCATCCCCTTTTCTGTCTTCTACATCTCCCCTTCCTTAGATCCCCTTTTAGTTTTTCATCTTATCTTGAACATTTTTCTCTTCACAAAAACTTCATGCTGTAGTATAAGAATGATTTATATCACTTATCCTTACCATAGAAAGTTTATAAAGAACTTGTTTAGATATCTTTTTATTTTATATTTTTTTTTTAATTTTTTTTTTTTCAGTACTGATGATTGGATTCAGGACTCTGCACTTGCCAGGTAAGCACTTATTCTACTGAGCTATCTCCCCAGCCCTACAGATACCTTTTTAAATATAATAAAAGTTTCAACTGAAACTGGAAGCTGTTAGGATCATGATAAAGCTAAGAAAAACTTACACATCTAATGAAAATCAAACTTTGAAAATGATTATATATAAATAAAATTTAACACATTATAATTCATAATGATATGTTTGAGTCCATGTTTACACTTTAAAACAGCAGTGATGGAAACAGAAAATCTGTCTCACGTACCAGCACAATAAACGCTTGGTAGAATGCTTTTAAAGTTGTAACACGTGTGACAAGGTGGTGTGTCCTGAGGGAGTCTGTCGATATCGTTCATTATAATAACTATTAATGTGCTTTAGCACAGCCTCCTTGCTGATTATGGTGAGTTATATTGCTTTTCTAACTATGGCACTAATAATGAATTTCCTTTTATATTATTTTTAAAGAGTCTGTTAAATGATACTAAATAGACACTGTTGTTGAGTTGTATACAACTTTATTAGGGTTATTTTTTTTTCTAGAAACTAAGGGAATAACTTAATTTTGAGATACACAATGCATAATATATGCACCTCTAGAAATAATCAGGAAATACTGCTTATTAATAATTAAACATTACCAGCAGAGAGAATACTACTAATGTGTGCCTGAATATTCTAATCCCAGGAGTATAAATCCAGGGGACTGCAGAACTTGTGGGCAGTAATAGGTACTTTACAGATATGCCAAAGTGCAAGCCAGCCTCCAGCCACCCAAGACAAGTGCGGAGGACAGCAAGATACAGGA